CCTCAGTGCAACTGTAAAGCTGCACGGCTGCAGGGAGCAGCTCCCCGAGGTCTGTGAAGGGCCCACAGCGGCAGGTGGGCTGAAGAGGGAGGCAAGATTTCGGAGTCCCACCAGCCAAGGTGAGCTCCTTTCCGCCCCGCCCCAGGGTCCCCCGGCACCCACACAGAGTGAGACACCCAGCACTCTGAGGGAGGAGGCCCCCTCCGTGGTCCCGGGAGGTGGGCAGCCCCAGTTGATTTCTGTCTCCTTGCCTCTTGGCCCCAGGTGCAGGCCCAGTCGCGAAGGACATGAGCGGGAGGAAAAGCGCCAGCGTTCTGGCTCGCAGACAACAACGTGGAGTCCTGGGAAACCAAAAATGTTTTGAGGGCCCTGGAGAGGGAGGGGTTTGGGCCAATGATCCTGGGTAGCACTTCTGTGAACTCCGCACTCAGCCCCGAGCTACATGTGATGGGAAACAGGGGGCACAGCCTGGGGGGAGCGACCTGCGCAGAGCCAGAGCCCTGGCAGGGCCCAGGCCGGCCCCTGGGCTGCGCGCCTGCGACAGACCCAGCTATCACCGCAAGGCCTTGGCAGCAGAGCTGGTATCGGAAACAGCATCCACAGAAGGAGGCAGGCACACTCAGCCCGAATCCCACTGGATCGATTCTCTGATAAACCAAAAATAGCAAGAATTTCCATAGAATTTCAATGCGACCCAGAGTCTGAAAACATAACAGTCAACATGCTCAGGACACAGCCAAAAAAATAACTCAGCATAAAAACACATGATAATCTACACTCACGTGGTGAAAGACAGCAACAGACATTAATATGAAAATGACAAAGATGTGGGAATTAGCAAATAAAGATTTTAAGCAGCTTTTTATAAAAACGCTGCAACAGGCAAGGGAAAACAAACACCGTAAAAACAAATGAAAAATTAGGCAGTGGTATCAAAGGAATGGCAAATATAAAGGAGAACCAAATGGAAATTTTAGAACAGTAAAAAAAGATAACATAAATTTTTTTAAAAAATTAACTCACTGAATGAGTTCAAATGTAGAATGAAGGTGGCAGAGGAAAATCAGGGAACTCGAGTCTTTATCAATGAAAAGTATCTAATCTAAACAACAGAGAGAAAAAAAAGGGGCCAGGGAAAGAGAAAAGAAAGAAAACACACAGGGACCTATGGAATAATTCCAGAAGATACTCAGATTCTAGAATAAAGATAGTGTTCACTGAAGAAAAATTATTTGAAAAAAACAGTGGCTGAAAACTCCCATATTTGGCAAAAGACATAAACCTCCAAGTTTAAGAAGCTCAGCAAACCCTAAAGAAGTAAAACCAGCCTGGCCGGGCGTGGCTCAGAGGTTGCNGGAAGGAAGGAAGGAAGGAAGGAAGGAAGGAAGGAAGGAAGGAAGGAAGGAAGGAAGGAAGGAAGGAAGGAAGGAAGGAAGGAAGGAAGGAAGGAAGGAAGGAAGGAAGGAAGGAAGGAAGGAAGGAAGGAAGGAAGGAAGGAAGGAAGGAAGGAAGGAAGGAAGGAAGGAAGGAAGGAAGGAAGGAAGGAAGGAAGGAAGGAAGGAAGGAAGGAAGGAAGGAAGGAAGGAAGGAAGGAAGGAAGGAAGGAAGGAAGGAAGGAAGGAAGGAAGGAAGGAAGGAAGGAAGGAAGGAAGGAAGGAAGGAAGGAAGGAAGGAAGGAAGGAAGGAAGGAAGGAAGGAAGGAAGGAAGGAAGGAAGGAAGGAAGGAAGGAAGGAAGGAAGGAAGGAAGGAAGGAAGGAAGGAAGGAAGGAAGGAAGGAAGGAAGGAAGGAAGGAAGGAAGGAAGGAAGGAAGGAAGGAAGGAAGGAAGGAAGGAAGGAAGGAAGGAAGGAAGGAAGGAAGGAAGGAAGGAAAACCCAAAGAAATTCATATCTAGCTATAATCAAACAGCTGAAACGGTAACACAAATAATAATATAAAAAACAACAAACACACAAAATACTTTCTGAACAATAGCCAAAGAC